ATGCATTCCGGTACCCGATTTTATTACCTTCTAAGCATTATATTGTTGACTGTTTAATTAGAGATTACCATTTAAAGCATTCTCATGCCGGCGTACAAGCATTAACTGTTATAATTAGAGAAGAATTCTGGATCATTGGTGCAAGACGCCGAATTAGATCGGTGGTGAAACAGTGCGTTCCGTTGTAAACGATTTTCAGCAAAACCTCCAACTACTGCACCCATTCAATTACCATTAGACAGAGTTCGAGATGCTTTCGCATTTGAAGTTTACCGGCATAGATTTATTTATGTGGCCCTCTGATTCTCAAAAATAAAAACAAAGCCTGGGTAGTACTGTTTACATGTGCTGTGTATCGATGTGTACATTTGGATCTAGTGACATCCGTAAGTACCGAATGCTTCATTCAAGCGTTTCGTCGGTTCATAGCCAGAAGAGGTCGGCCATCTATAGTTTACTCAGACAACGGCACAAATTTCGTCGGTACATCTGCATTGCTGAAAAAGGTCGACTGGGTAAAGGAAACTTTGCATCCCATCACTTGGAAGTTCATTCCGCCCACTGCTGCTTGGTGGGGCGGATAGTGGGAGCGTCTAATCCGCACAGCCAAGAATTTGATTGTGAGAGTCTTAGGACAAGCTGCAGTCAATTACGAAGAGTTACTCACCACCGTCATCTGTGATGTGGAAGCCGTAATAAACTGTCGACCACTTAACTTATGTGTCAAATGACTCTGAGGATCTTCTACCATTAACGCCTTCCATGTTCTTACAGGACATTAAGGTTTCAGGTACAGCAGATTTGGATGCTTTAGATCGAAATAAACTCTTGGCTCGTCAGCGTTTCTGCCAGGAACTTCGAGAACAATTTCGTAGCCGTTTCCGCAAGGAGTACCTTGGACAGTTAGTACAAAAGCATGGACAGACGGACTGTGAATTAAAAGTTGGAGACATCGTGCTAATAGGTTGTGAGAACCTTAAAAGAGTGAACTGGCCAATTGCTCGTGTCCAAGAACTTTGTACAAGCAGAGATGGACGTGTAAGAGTTGTAAAAGTGAAAACTAGAAATGGCATACTGATTCGTCCTGTACGTAAACTGTACCCTCTAGAAGTGTGTTCCTGTACTAAGGATACCATTATTTGATTTTTGATTTTCCTTCTGAAAATCAAAAAGGTGGGAGTGTTGTGAAACTGATTAGCTGTATCTAACAAATATTAAAAACAAATCTCTTCATTTTGATGTACGAGACACAGATGGCATTGGCTGTCATTGAAGTAGGAAGAAAAAAGGGTTTTCCCCTTTTCGACCTCGTGACGTGAACTGATTAAGTGTGTAATAACTTTCGGGGCCAGAAAAATTTCCCGACAATTGTTAAAAAATGTATATATTTTGTAGTATAGAGAGAATATAATTAGATAAATCAACATATTAGAGTTTTTATTACAGATTCAACATCACACTACCCAGGTAAGTGAGCAAGTTTTGTCTTTAGTTTTTCTGGATTGCTCGGTATCTGGGATGAGTGAAGGAAGTATTTTTATTTTAATGATATTTAATGATAAGACTATGTTTTAGTAATAATAGATACCGAGTATTTGCAATTCTTAAAAACGCATCAAGCAGTGGGTGATTCTGCACTTTACCCAATTCTATCGCAGCTTTCATATGGCAACCCAAATTATTAAATCATAGGTTATCAAAAAGGAATTAAAAATTAAATTATATTCAATGGCGTGTTAAGAAATATAGAACTATATAAACTTATGCAATCTGAAATCAGCACGTACGCTAGATTTGGCACGCTGTTAAATGGGCGTGTTTGCTAGATTTGGCGCTTTCGCGCATACATTTTCGCTGGAATTTTTTTACGGCCCTCAAAACCGAATAGTACCGTATTTTTTTGTAAAAGTACACAAATTCTGAATACGGATAATAATTTTTTCTTTGAACTTCGTAATATTTGAGTAATACTGAAAATTTGGTTATCTTCGGATTATGGTAACTTGGCGATTTTTTGGCAACCAACCCTGCTACAGCAACCTGCTAGTTTTTTTTGACGCCATTTTGTTTTCACAAAGTAAAGGCTTTTTTTTTTTTTTTAACTTAACATTTTTTTTTCCAACAATCTGCTAGTCGAGTTACGCTTATGCTAGAACTTTTATGGAACACAAGTGCTTAATCATGATGAAGATTAGGTGCGAAATTGGGAGAAAGTGCAGAATCGCCCACTGCTTGCCGCGTTTTTTGTCGCCTTACCAAAATGTTGCCAAACTACCTGTTACCATATTCCAAAGATTAGCCAGTATCCAAAGTTTTAAATCATCTTTTGTTTTCTCATGCTACACAACAATGGAATTTTCCAGCAACTTGGTATTTGTATCATTTTTTAAGAAGTTAACATTAAAATCCCACTGATCTTTACTGTATCTCTTTGGTTTCTGTCTGAAAAACAATTACCAAGTGATATAGGCTGTTCGTGAAATTTGGAAGCCTGCTGTGTGAAATAGGTCTTTCAGTAACCCTAATGTTGATAACGTTGGCGAAACTAGCCTTGGGAATGATTTATGCTTTTGGAAGCACTTCCGCAGAGAACCCGGTAATTGTAAACATCGCCAACTTTGGCGATAATAGTTCAAACCTGGTAACCTATCGGATTCATCGTATTCGCTTGTTTGAAGGTTGCAACCATTCCTCTTGCGTTCATTTTGTTTGAATTATCACTGTCATTGTTCGCATATGGAGATTTATATTCTTCTTCTCTTATTTATTATTATTTTTTCTGATTATCCACGCTATTTTTCTGAATTTTTTAACAACGAAATGGATAGAAATATTTTCGTTATAATTAAAGACGTTTTCGTCGATAGATGCCGGTTCACGGCTCCAATTTTTATTTCGTAAAATTTTAACAAGATAGTATATTGTTAATGCTTTTCTAACAATAACCTTTCCGAGGATAGCAGGTGTGACATAAATAGCTGATTAAATTTGAAATAAAAAATATTATTGATTATCTAAGATGACAGAGTAGTTTGACGCATCTCCATGGTCATCAAAATTAGCAAACCACTGCTGGTGTAAGGAATACAGTTCAAATTACTCTTGAAAAATAATAAAATGTATAAAGTTCTAGTTTTGTTAACAATGCTACTGAAGAAAATTAGATTACTGTTGAAGGTTATTTGTATTGTGAAATATATTATGAAAAATACAGCTTTATTTTCGTATATCACGTTTAACCGGTTAGTTTTACATCTACATGCTTATTATCTGTGAATTTTTACTACCATATGCTTAATATTTTGTTTTGTCTGCTAATTTGAATTTACATGCACTAAAAATCACGTTTACGGCTCGGCTCATCCCTTCGCGAGTAAAAATTGCAACAGCGCCAACGGGTTCTCCGTGGATGAAAACCCTAGCTTTTTCTAATTTTGTCAATAAAAAGGGGTTATTTTTGAGAATATCGCCAAACGTGTTGTGATAAATTTAGATTTTGGTTATTTTTTGTAATAGTAATTCTTTTGTATGGACAAGGGTTTTTGGTTCTTACCATTCTTTTCAATTGCTGTGTTTGGTTGCATGTGTGTGGTATGGTCTTGGATTTTGAACTTGCTATTATTTTGCTGTGGGTACCATCATTTGAGTATGTTTGAATTGCTTATGTGGAGGATACAGGAGATGGTAATGGGATTGGATTATTTAATGATGGCAAAACACACGAGGGCTATCTGGCTAAAGGGAGGGATGCTTTCGTGGAGGACTTTCGAACAGAGGCGTAGCTAAGGTTTTGAGCGTCCAGAGACACCTAAAGATTTTGCACCCCTTTCTGTGTTCCAAGAATTTCATTCTGAAATGTATATCATCAATTTGCTGCCCCCGGGGACGGATGTCCCCCTTGCCCCACCCTAGCTACGGCTTTGCTTTCTAAGGAAAACTGGCTCGTATACACCTTACACATGGGGAAAACCACGAAAATGCCCATGCAGCCAGCCCATTCGCGGGATTCGAACCTCGGAATGAACTACCAGTGTTCGGTGTCTTTACCGCTCGGCCGCTGGTGGGCTGAGATAAATAATGGGAAGCGTGAATGTACGCACGTGAAAAAAGGCAAGTTAAAAAATTGATGTTTCATTTCTTTATTCGTCTCTGGTTGTTAATATTTGTTAAAAGATTTGCTTAATGTTTTTATGTTACAAAATATGTAATTTTTTTATTTACTACTCTCTGTTTGTGTATTTTTGGTTATTTGTTTGTCTCTGTGTGTCAAAAGACTGGCAAATTTTTTTTTGGTTAACATGATAGTTTTAAGTTTGTTTTAGCTTTCTGATTTTGTTTAAGTGAAAATAGATCGATGTATACATGGACAAAGTTAGGGCAGTTCCCAATGCCTAGTTTGTGCAATTCTCTTATGTTTTTTCAGTTAAAATAGATCGATATGCACATGGACACAGAGTCTGTGTAAGTCTTTGACTTCTTGTTTTGGTTTTGTGTAGCGGGCAGAAGGATCAGCACCATCTTAAAATTGGTGCCGATCTTGGCATAAAAAAAAGAGATGATTTACCAAGGCGTACTGGAGAGTAAATTTTAACCTAAAATCCTTTATACTGCCTTCTTAAAGAATCTTTCTTTTTATTTAATTGTCTCAATATTAGCTTTTGATACAACAAAACTTATTTCTAAAATGCATTTATTCCTGAAAACACCGCTACACTGACAACATTATAATAGTGAGCAGAAAATTAAATACCATCAACAGGTCATCTGTGAAAATCTACACTATAATATTTACAGTGGATTTTAAATCCTTTTAAGAGTATTTATACCCCTGAAGAATTTCTTATAGCATGTGAAATGCAAGACTAAGATTATGTAGCTGTTAAAATGATATTTTCATAGATCAGCAGAATTTACAGTTAATTAGATTACATAACTGAAAGGTAATCTGATAAAAAAAAAATTCTTAAACTATTTATATTACATTCGCACTGAAACCTTACCTGTAATATAACAGCTTCAGGATTTATAAGTAGGCTGTACATCATTTCTCCAACTTTAAAATTTTGCACATACTCTGACTGAAGGCTCTCACTTGGCTCTGATCTCAATTTACCAAACATGTACTTCAAAAGTCTTTCTGATGGGCAACGAGTTGCATCAGTTAAGCTTTCAAATGAGTTTAAAATATTTAAGAGTTGGATCTGACCTGCAACAGTTGACTTTTCCACCAATGATTTAACAGCACTGCTTACTTGACAGGATTTTTCTAGTTTCGATAGCTCACAGAGCCGATTGTCCATGTCATAGAACTCTCTGTCATGAGCAAGCTTTTTCAGAATCACCTTGTCTCTCCGAAATTTTCCTAAGTACACATTTTTTACATTTACAAATCTGTAAAGTATTCCTTTACTGATTCCAATTAAGAAAATATCACCGTGATAAAACTCTGGGCATAAATTACTTCCATAGCAAGCTGGGCAATGACCAACATTTGTAAATTGATCATCAGAGAGATCTACATGTAAATTTAATAAAATTTTTAAGCATATTATTAAACATATTACTAAAACTGAATAGCACAAAAGTTTCTTTTTACCCATCTGAAGGAATATGTTCAATTTCAAATTCTGACTTAAGGTCTAGTTTCACCATAATAAGCTTACAATAATCCAATTAGTCTCAGAAGATCTGGTGGCAGAAACATACGGATTCTTATGCATTCACATATTAACCAATTTCTTTTTTTTTTTTTTTTTAAACAGATGTGAAGATGTTCTGCTTTGCACACAGAATATATTTTCCTATTTTATCATATTATTGCAGTATATGTGGTGACAATGGGGATGTTTCCGTTCACCGTGGCAAGCAACGCACATGTAAGCACACAGCATCTTAGTTTAAAAAATATTAACTCATTTTAAGTTAAAAAACACTTACTGAACGCTGCTACAAACAAGACATCTGTGTGCAGATGATGAAATATCTTAAAGAAAAGTACTAATGAATAATGTTTGCTGTGCCAATATAAATATTCAGTATAAAATGCCTTCAAGTTACTGTTTAAATCATTCGTGCATATTTTCACATAAATTTAGATTAAGACTTTAACTAACTAAATACACGTAGTATTTCAGCTGAAATGAACCTAAAACCGGAACCAAAATACATAGAACCGTATTATCTTCCAAAAAAAACAAAAAAAAAAAAAAAACAAAAAAAAAAAAAAACAGTTCAGTCGTCTTATCTTCTGTTAAAGTTTTAAGCAATATTAATTCAAGAAATTATCAACCTAAGATAATTCAGCGAGTACATACTGCGTGTACCTGTCGCAATTAATTTACTTTCAGTAAAATAAAAATTCACTTACAAACAGAATCACACTCACTCTTAGCACTGCATCACTCATTCACTTTCTTTATAAAATAAACAGAAACGCAAAACTAGTCAATAACTTATGTTGCCATTTCTTCCCTGCCAAAGTAATTTTCGCAAAGAAGGATCAATGCTATTCGCACCAGCGTTGCGATTAAGCTATTCGCACCTAGATCTTTGCCTAGGTCATTCCTTTGTTCGACTCCTCGCCGAAGCGAGCCTCATGGAGGGGGTTAACTACAAGAAATCTGACATGTCTGTGTTGCACCTGCTGTGATTTCGCGCGTTTATAACTGTAGTTTCATTCAGTTGCGAGACGATTTTCTTGAGGTCGCATATCCCAAATTAATTTTAATCATACATATTTGTTTTCTAATAATGAAATATTTAAAATAATTTGTGTATATAGTATATATATATAGGTTTAGTCAGTTTTCGTTTTAAATTCCTCGTTCGATTCCGGGTTTCGGCAGTACCATATAGGCAGATAGCCCTAGTGTGCTTTGCCATAATTAAATACACCGTTTTAAATTCTATATTTAAAGTATCCTTTATGTAATATGGCTTTTTGTGCTGTAGCAATGTGCCGTAACACTTATAGAAATACGAAAAGAAGAGATATTGTATTTCATGCTTTCCCAAAGGACAATTTGCTTTTGACGAAAGAATGGATACGTAAATGTCGAAGACAGGATTCTATTAATGTGAAAAACGCAAGAATTTGCAGCGAACATTTTCTGTGCAGTGATTATGAAGATGACACGAGAAATCGCTTGCTTGGATTGCCGAAAAGAAACTGTTGAAATGCAATACTGTGCCGAAAGTAAATTTATCGTGTGCAGTAAACGAAATAACACCAAAAAATGGGAGACATTTGAAAAGAAAACTAATGCAGAGTGCTTTTGAAAGACTAGACGAATTAATACCAAAGAAAATTTATTTTGAGGCCGAGAACGAAATTGAAGCTGACAATAATAAATCAAATGTGAATAATTTTGAAATAAAACTCACAAGTGACAATATCCCTGAATGCCCTAAATGTAAAGATAAACAAGAATGTATTGATAATTTGAAGAACAAAATAATATTCTTCGAAAATTGTAATAAAATATTGAAAAATAGAGAAAAGAAAAATTTTAGAATGTTTGCTCAGAGACAAAAAAGGTGGACGACATCTAGAAAGAAATTTGTATCGGAAATTCTGAAATTAAAATCCCAAACAGCGAAATTTAGGGAAAAACATCAAAGATCGGAGAATTTGGAAAAACGTCTAAAGCATATTTTTACAAAGACGCAGATTAACGCATTGCTAGATAAGAAGGAAAAAATCAGGTGACCTAGTGAAGATATTTTACGTTGCATTGTCATAAGAGCTCTGTCATCTAAAAACTATGATTTTTGAAAGAAAAAATGGGAATTCCTTTACCTAGCACTAGCACATTAAAGAGATGGTTTGCTAAATTTTCATGTAGTTCAGGAATTCATGTGATGTTCTTGCTGTAATGAAGGAAAGATGCGAATATTTGAATTATGTAGAAAAAATATGCGTTCTCAGTTTAGACGAAGTGCACATAGATTCTAAACTATGCTATGACTCTAAACTGGACCAAATTCTCGGTACATTTCAAAAAGTGCAGTTTGTTTTAATGAGAGGTCTCCTTTCGCACTGGAAACAACCAATATTTTTTTTATTTTAACATTCCAATGAAGAAAGAACTTCTTTTTTCACTCATAAGACATATTCAATCATCTGGAGTAGAACTGAGAGCAATAGTGTCTGATTTAGGAGGATCTAGTACTTTGTGGAAAGAGTTACAGTTCTCAGTTTCCAAATCCGGTATTACAAACGAAAAAAATATGGGTTTTTGCAGATTTAGTTCACTGCCTCAAATTACTGAGAAACCACTTTTTAGATAAAGGATTTGTTTTAGAAGATGGAACTGTTTTAAATGTTGATATTATTAAAGAGGTTTTAAACAGAGATTCAGGAGAAATTAAATTGTGTCACAAACTAAAACCAAATTATTTAATGGTCAAAGGAAACGAGAGACAAAATGTCGCTCTAGCGAAAACATTATTTTCAAGAACTACCGCAAAACGTACACTCCACCTCACAGGAAATCAAAAAGCATCTGACTTCTTTGAGTTAATCAAAATTTTTTTTCAATATTATGAATAGTACCAAGCCATACTCTCCTTCAGATAAAATACTTAAAGCAGCATTTGGATTAAATGAGCATCATGAAAAACAACTTCAAGTTTTGGAATTAATGAAGAAAGTCATTGGTGGATTAAGAGTTCAGGGAAAATCCAACATACTGCCTTTCCAAAAAAGAATAATAATTTCAATAAATTTTCTTTTTGGCCTACACCAGGATTTGAAATCATCGTATGATGCTAAATATATTTTAACCTCTAGATTAACTCAGGATGCACTTGAAAGTCTCTTTAGTCAGATTCGAGGGCTTGGTAGGTTTAATGACCATCCATCACCTAGTTAAGTTATATGCCGCTTAAAGCAATTAATACTCGCTAATAAGCTGCCAAATTTATCTTCAAAAGTGTGCATGACTAAAGAAAGCAGAAATATTGATCCATATTTAACATCAGAAATACTTGAAAGGGCTTTGAAAACTGAGGAGGAAGATGCTTTTCCATTTAATACTATCGATGATTTGGATTTGGATTTCAGAGAGGAACCTTCTCCTATGGCTTGGGAATGAGAATTGAATTTTGCCAGACAATTTTCGACAGCCGTAAAAGAAGCATTAATATATGTTGCAAGTTATATTGCCTACTGTGTGCGAGACAAAGACCCATCATTGGGAACAATATCTGAAAATAGTGCTGATGAACCAATCTTTAATTCAGAATGGATTAAATTATTGTCCTTAGGAGGTTTGACTACACCTTCTCCTTCATGGATGAATACAGTTTATGAGTTCGAAAATATATTTTGTGTAGTTCGTGGTGCAACTTACTATAAATCGAAGCATGTAATTGGCTTTTAATTAACAAACTGGAGAAACATTATCCTGAAGTTAACAGTTATTTTGCAGAGTGCGAAATTTTATTAGAATACGTTTCTTAAATAGAAATGCATATGTTTTTTCCCAAAGAAAAGCAATCCAAAAAGCAAAAAAGTGGATTGCTTCGAATGTGGCAGAAAATAAATAATATTTCAACAACTTGTAGTTGCATTGCGACTGCACAAGTAAGCATATATAATATGTTTTGATTTGAAATATTTCTAGATGACATTTTAGAAATTAATAGCGTAAAGCATATTTCAAATGAAAACTAATTTTGTTAAGTTATTGTTAAAGTTATTTTTATTGTATCCTGTGTTATTATTGATTCGATTTTGTGGTAGCTTAGCATTCTAGATAAAATACAATAGTATAACATTTTAAAGTAATTGGCATAAGAAGACCTACCTCCTTAACCCCCACTTTTGAAAAATTAAATAATTTTTTTTTAGGTACTGCGAGTAAAGTTATTTTGTCTAAATTAAGGTAACAATCTTACATGTATTTATTTAAATGTAATATTGATGTAAGCCTAAGTTACAAAATTTATTAAAATAATGTATGTTATTATATTGAATCGGAGAGAAAAATATACCTATGTAAAATTTGCAATTAGGCTGAAACTCAAACTTAGATTAGGAAAAATTTTGCCATATATAACCATATGTTTAAATCTATGCCAACTTAAGGTTGTTTTTTGATTAATTTAAAATAGCTGTTATTATAGTTATCTTAGAAGCAGTAGTACAGTTTTCTTAGTTAACATGCAGATAAAGAAATTATTAGAAACAAACTGGCATTTAAAGAAAAAAAAAAAAATCCTTGCAAATTAAAAAAAAAAGGAACTTTATGCTAAGAGTAGCGCATTTTATCTGTTATTTTAAAACTGAGCAAGTACTATTAAATTCTTCAATGTTCAGTGTAAAATGCATATTGCAGTAAGATTGTCTCCTCCAAATTATTTCACACACAGCTCATTTTAAACGCTGGTTCTTGAAATTAAAACGTTAATTTCTATATTGTCAATTGCATCTCCGCGCTCAGTGTCATCATGGGTACGTCATCATTCCCCACTGCCTCTTTAAGGGCGAAAAGCTCTATAAGGTAGCCCTTCTCTTTTAAGTCCAATTCGAACAAATATTAACCACGCATGCGCATTGAGTTGTCAGATCCGTCATTTGAATCCAAAGGAAAACAACGGATTCCACGTATGCAAACTGCCTAAGTGGGGTTGTAGTGAATCTTTTTTTTTAAAGGCGGGTTATTACTTTGGCGTAGTTTATAATTTTTTAAGCGCAGGCGACATTCAAAAGTTTAGAAAGGAAAATGGGTTCCTTTTCTTATAAAAAGAAGGAACACATTTCCTTTTACTAAAATATATATAAAAAAGGGCATATTTTTATGTACGCAATGTTTATCGTTTTCCTGAACGGTTGGAATAGTTTAAATGACTGATTTGGGGGGGGGCAAAATGTCCTTGTTTACAGTTTTTGTTCTTCTTAGAATACATTTGGCTTCGAAGATGTGTTTTGCGCAATCAAGACAATCCTCTTTTCTTCATTCTCCTTTGAAAATTTGTGTCCGAGAAAAGATAATAAAAATTAGAGGATTTCTGTGTAGAAAATTTAGACATGAAATAAGTTAAAAGCGATTAAATAAAATATTAATTGAATAATTAATCATATAATACTGGTTATTAACAATTCTGTATGCCTGTTTATTTTTTTTTAATGGAAATACTTGGCATTTTCAGGACACAAAAAGTACTTCAAAAATCTCTGAAATATTAGGACAAACACATTAATAAATTAAATTGAGATGAATAATGAGATGTAATTTAAAAGACAGAAATAATTTAATATAAGAGATTTAGATTTAAAAATTTGCACACACAAATGAATTATCAGATTTTATAAGGTTTTATTTCATAGATAATTTTGATTTGGAAATATGGCATTTGAACCTATAAACATGTGTGGATACTAAAAAAGTGATGAATATATAAGAATATTATAATTTTCAGTAAGTTTTCTTATTGAATAATAAATTCTGACTTGCATAAAAATTCCTCTGTTAAATAAATAAAAGAAATTAAGTAATTTCTGTAGGCAATACAGTGGAATTTTACACACGTCAGTTTGACGATTTTACTATCTATCTCCACGCCTGGTTGGCGACAACGAA